AGGGTGCCGAATTCCTGGGCCAAACCTTGAGGGAGGGACTCCTTTAACTTACGGAGGGAGTCCCATAAGTTAAAATTGTACGTGCCTAAGAGGGCCTGGTGGTTCATCACCCAGAATTGCAAGTTGGCTGTTGAATAAATTTTTCTCCCAAAAAGGTCCAGTCTTTATTGGCCTCTTTATTTTTGGGAGTTGAACTGGTGTGCCCCTGCTTGTCCTTCTCAATGGCTGCAGAGATGACCAGCAAGCCTGGAGGTGGGTGGGTATAAAGGCACTTGAACCCTTTGGCTGGAACAAAGTACTTCAGTTGGGAGGGATGGATGACGGGGTTTGCCAGATGTTCTTGGCAATTTTTAGGGCCCTGTCATGCACTGCTAGTGCAACACGGGCAGGGGTAGAGGATAAGAGCACAATGAACAAGGTGTCTGCCTGCTTGGCCATCTCCTCTGCCTCTAGGCCCAAGTTCTCGGTCACCCATTGAAGCAAGTCCTGGTGTTCTTTAAAACTGTCCAGTGGGCTGGCGCTCCAGGATCCCGCGAGTGCCTCGTCCAGGGAAGAGAATGACAACTGTACTGCTGGGGGAGGCCCTGGGACATCATCCACGGTGGGAGAAGGGGTTTTTAGGATGGGCGCTGTCTCCTTTACCCTGACCGCCGGTGCTATCAACTGTTGCTCCAAGGTGGCAGCAGATGAGTGGTACCCCACGCACTCCAATAAGGCCACTGGCTGTGCTGCCAAGGGAGCACCGTACATGTCAACATGGCCTCACGTGCACAATCGCACTGGTGGAGTCTCGGCAAGGGGCTAAACTGTCCTCCTCTGCTGGAGGAATCTTCTTCTGGTGACCATGGTGGGGCCATCGACACCTGTGTCTGCCTGCTGCCCATCGCTGCCAGAGACCGGTGTTGGGAGTGGGAGGATCAGTGCCGGTATTGAGGGGACTGGTGCTGGGGGGACTGGAATCCTGAGGGGGAGCGCTCCCATGGGCAGGCGATGGAGATCTGCGCCGAGAGGACAACTGGTGGTAGGGTGAACAGTGCTGGTAGTATGGGGGCGAGCCCCAGAGGATCTGGGCTGCAACGACGTAGATCTGCGACATGGAGATGGAGAGAACTGCCTTCACTCGGGGGATTGGCAGCACTCCACTGCTCCCTGAGGGGGAGATCTTAACAGCTGTCTTGCCCTCATAGGGAGCTTTTGCCACTTCCTGTGGCATGCATGGTGCTGGTGGCATAGGCGGAGGCCTCTGCTCTCTCAGCACCGGGAGAGCTTGGGAAGGCGTCGATGTCGCCACAAGTTTGGGTCCCCTACTGCTCCCGGGAGTTGGTGGTGGATCCTTTACGGGGCTGAGGGCCCCGACAAGGGTGGCACATCCACGTGGCTCTGGAGTGGTAGGGTGGCCCGAACTGGGTCCTTTGCCCGATGCCCCTTGGCTTTTCTTGCCCAGTGCTGGGGAGCCGTGCTTCTTCGTTTTCTTTCTGGGCACCGGTGACAGGGGTGCGCTGCGCACTGAAGCTGAGGTACTAGGAGTCAAGTCTTGGTGGGCTGGCTCAGAAGCCTGTCGGAGGGCAGTCTCCATGAGGAGAGCCCTCAAACAAATATCCTGCTCTTTCTGAGTCCTGGGTTGAAAATATTTACAAATAGGACACTTGTCCTTCACATGCAATTCCCCCCAAGCACTTGAAGCAGCTGCTGTGGAGATCACTTACAGGCATAGTCCTGTTAAGCCCTGCATGGAGTGTAAACCCCAGAGATCGGGACACGCCCCACCTGGGGAGAAGTCCCCACTGGGACTCTAACTTCTATCTAACTACTTAACACTAACTCACTAAGTCAGAAGGGAAGAAAACGCTAGCCCTTGCTATGCAAGGAAAGGTGCTCTGACTAACCACCATGGGAGGTAAGAAGGAACTGAGAGGGTGTGGGAGGCCTGACATAGCGATGCATGAGCACGGCACTCAAGGGGGCGCCACAGCCGGCCCTACGAATACCGCTAAGGCAAAAATCTCTGATGACCGCGCAAGCAACCTGTGGATGTACAATTCCAGTACATTATTATTATTATTATTTTTAATCAAGTCAACTTTTTTTTAAAGACTACTGTTTTGTGCTGGGAAAAAAAAAAACTTCCAAAGAACCCAGGGATGGAGAGACAAAGATAAAAGGAAAGAGAGCAAACTGTAGGAGAGAGAAGAGATAACTGAAAATAAGTTATCTGAAAGTCTGCGAAGTGCTAATTACAGAATGCAAGATTAACATGTTAACTGACGTATTAGCAGCATCACTATATGTGTAAAGAAGCAATAACTGCTCTGAAAATTGTCTTTCGTGTATTACTTCAAGAAGATAATTATGTAGCTGCTGGTCAGGTCTAAAGAGCTCTTATTTTGGAGGAACATGTTGGTACCCAGCAGCTTCTTTTAGCTCCTACTTGCCATATCCACCATGCTGTAGCTATGGAAATACAGATAAGTTTTACTCTAACACAATGCAAAAAATATGATGCCCAGAGTTTAAGATACTCAGATTTTGAATTCCATTTTAATATAGAAAAGTTAACAGCCACCTCAAAAATAAAGTCAATGACATACATTCCCCCACAATAATACTAAATACAATACTATAACAACTTTTCAGGTTGAAACTAGCTATTCTAAGATAAATGTTCATGAAGTATTTTCTGTTATGCAACTAATGATTTAATTAAACATTTTTAGTGAAAGTCTGAAGAAGAATAAGGTATTTCCTCACAACTCATATACAGAGAAAACCTATAATTTTAGAAATAAGTATTCTTTTTTCATAAAAAAATACAATATACAAAAATGTACATTAATCCTATTATTGTGCAGAATTTAACGTTACATATGACAAACCAGTTGACTTCTTTGCATCTATCCACACAAATTAATTACCTGCGTAGAATTAAATATTTATACTTTGCCTTCCCATGAGATGCATGGGGCTGCTCTTCATTCAGCTCAAGCAAACCCTAGCTATGCAAAAAGTATGGGCATTTTGTGCCCTCAGACTACATCAAGAGGTGGTCCCTGCAGACTGTGCAGAGGAGGGAAATCCTACTCTCTCCTATGATGGCACCAGCTGCACAGTTCCACAGTTAGAGGCAGAAACACTCTGGACTGTGTTGTTAGGAGGGAGAGGCAGAGAGCAGAACAGTAAGGCTGAAAGGGAACAGTTAATATTACAGAACACAGTAAAATGTAGTTGGTTCCATTCTAGTTTCAAAGATACACAGTTCTAGCCTTGGAGAAACCTACTACTTTCATTTGGCACTACGTTCAGAAGGGAAGGGAGAAAAGCAAAAAATTAATACAATTCGCATTAATTCTCAATTGATCCTTTTTTTCCTAGTACCAACTAGGGCTGTCAAGCAATTAAAACAATTAATTGCAATTAATTGTGCCATTAAACAATAATAGAATACCATTTATTTAAATATTTTTGGATGTTTTCTACATTTTCAAATGTATTGATTTCAATTACAACACAGAATACAAAAAGTGTTCAGTGCTTACTTTATATTTATTTTTGATTACAAATATTTGCACTGTAAAAAACAAAAAGAAATAGTATATTTCAATTCACCTAATACAAGTACTGTAGTGCAATCTCTATCATGAACGTTGAATTTACAAATGTAGATATATGTACAAAAACTAACTGCATTCAAAAATAAAACAATGCAAAACTTTAGAGCCTACAAGCTCACTCAGTCCTATTTCTTGGTCAGTCAATCGCTCAGATAAAACAAGTTTGGTTACAACCTGCTAGAGATAATGCTGCCCACTTCTTATTTACAATGTAACCTGACAGTGTGAACAGGCGTTTGCATGGCACTGTTGTAGCCAGTGTCGCAAGGTATTTACGTGCCAGATAAGCAGGCAGCAGTATCTCCCATAAATGTAAACAAAATTGTTTGTCTTCGCAATTGGCTGAACAAGTAGTAGGACTGAGTGGACTGGAAGGCTCTAAAGTTTTGCATTGTTTTATTTTTGAGTGCAGTTATGTAACAAAAAAATTTACATTTGTAAGTTGTACTTTCACGATAAAGAGATTGCACTACAGTACTTGTATGAGGTGAACTGAAAAACACTATTTCTTGTTTATCATTTTTACAGTGCAAATATTTGTAATAAAAATAATAATAATATAAAGTGAGCACTGTACACTTTGTATTGTGTTGTAATACAAATCAATATATTTGAAAATGTAGAAAAACATCCAAAATATTTAATACTGTACATTTCAATTGGTATTCTATTATATTAACAGTTTTTTTAGTTAATCGCATGAGTTAACTGAGATTAATCGACAGCCCTAGTACCAACTAAGAACTCAATAAAAATAATTTAAATTATTACAAAGTGCTCATAGCAATTGGCTTTATTTGCCAGTGTACAAAATTAATGGTGGCCTAGGGCCAGCAATATAACAAACTACTGAATAAATTTTAAAAAAATCATTATTTGCCACAAAGAGTAAGATCACAACAACTGCTGAGATCAAAACAAAAAGATTTACACAAGCTGTGATTATGATTAAAAGAATTAACTGATGGTTCTTTACTTAGATTTCTTAAAAGTTAAAACACATTCCACATTTTTTTTCCAACTCAAATAGCCAAAGAGCCCTTAATTTCTGGCATGTTCAATTAATGTACCTTCTGTGAGTTTTTAAATACTGTGATCATAGGTGCCTTAGATGTCACTAAAATAGATAATGTTTTGTAACTGTTACATGTCATTAAAGGGATACTTGGGCGATTTCCATGAAATAACACTCTGTATGCTCTTTTTTCAATTGTCTTCTTTAAAATCTTAAATGAGACATTCAACAATTTAAAGTCTTGTTTCTATGACAAACTTAGCAACACTTTTGCATTCCCAGAACAGCTTTAGAACTAAAGTATAAGAACTGTATCTGCTGTGAAGAACCAATATGGATATTATCTTAATATATAAATGATCAAAATAGTAAATTACCTAATCTGCTTCCATTCCTAGGCATTGCCATGAAAGAGCCAAGGCTGCCTCCTATAACGCTATGTGGTCTCCGTAAAGGGGGTTTCTTGAAAGATCCCGTGTATTGGTGAAGAAATGAGTGCATACTGTGAGACGTCGGAGGCCTGCCATTCTTCACAATAGGCTCTATAATTCCCAAGGCCCAAATGTTCATCCCGATGAATAAGTGAGAGATTCAGGAACATGTCAGAAGAAAAAGAAGAGAAAATTGTTACTATGCAGATAATCTCCACTCACTGGATGTTTTACTTTTTCAGTACTGAAGATAGTCGGAGAACACAATATTATTGGAATTCCCTTACTGGAAAACTATTACAAACAAAAAAATGTTAAACACTCCAGAGCTTGCATGAAGATCCACAACATCTGAAATTGAGGCAATTCCTTAACAACTGTAGGTTTTCCACAAAAAGACTCACCACAAAAACCATAAAACCAAAAATCCCAAGTATCAAAAGCAGACTACAGACCAGAAGATACCCATTTAAAGTTTGCATAGATATTTATTTCCTTTAAGTTTACTTAGCAATGGCTTCATCTTCACCATCATGTTTATATCAACCTTGCAATTTCTAGTCTGAATGAGGGGTAAATTCATCAGCGAGCCTTCAGAGGTTTGTCAGCCCCTCTCCTCTTAGTAGCCTTGCAATTGGGGATTTTCTGTAAGCCTTTGCTGAAAGTCTACCAAACCACTCTCAGACCACAGTAGCAATGCTACAATTAAGTCTATTAACCACTTACATTGTGACACAAGAATAGCATGTCATACTTGTTTTGGCTTTTCAAATGGGAAGATCAGAACTGAACACAGCATTTACTCACAGTAAAAGGACTGTTCTTGTAAGTATTGCTACCCTTAAATTATTTACACATACTTTCAACCTTAATTTTATCTAAAAAATACAAGGAAAAGAAGTGTACAAAATTATTTCAACAATGTTATATTTGATATTGCAATCACACAAAAGTCAGGGAGGAGTAACAGTTCCCTCAGCAACCTCAAGTCTATTCCCTTGTACATGTCTTATAATAGTCAGTCATTCACAATATCATCATACAACAGATTATAACAACACCCGACAACTCAATTAATTTACCAAGTTAATGGAGAAATATTGTCAATTTAAACAATTTTCCCCAGTAATAGAGAAATGCATTGATCGTGGAACAAACATACATGGATATAATCTTTACTACACAGGGCTCACTCCTGCCCTCTAATATAAAATACCCTAAGGTTTATAAAATTAGCTGCTTCTTCATAACATATTTGTACAAGATGCATACTTACATGTTGGAGAGATAAATAGAACCTATACAGTCGAGTTAAGTACACTGTTGGTCTCTTTATAGATTCTATCAATTTTCTTTTCCCCTAACTGGTTCTCTTCTTGCATTTACATGTATGTTACTAACAGGAACAAATTAGATCAAAGAACACTAGCACAGCATAGTCACTCAGGAATTAGATAACTGTGCTGCCAAATAGGAAACTGAAGCTTGAGTACAATTTGTGAAATCTTTCTTCCATGCACCTATGGCAGATATGTCCATCACAAAGGTTTACACGTCTCCTGGGATAGGGCACAATCTGCGATGCTATTCCATTATGCCAGAAACTGATTCTGGAGGGAACTGAGAACTTCGTTGTTGGGAAACACAGACACACTCTCTCTCTGAAGGGATTTAGCCATGAGTATGTATTTTACGGAGAGCAGAGTTTCAAAGGCAAACCAAAATAATAATATAGCAAAAATCCAGCAACTAAATTCAATCAGTGTCTTGGAGGTAAAAACTTTTGGCTATCTGATTATGGTACGTTTAATGGGAGAGAGAAAGAAGCACATGGACATAACTGCACAAGGATGTGCTTATAAATTAAAACAAAATGAAATTAAGAAATAGTTGACTTTCCACAGGAATAGTATAGAAGCACAAAATCACTTCCTGTCAGTTGCTTTCCAGAAAAACTATCCAAATAAATAATTTAGACAGTGAACAGAAAGTGAAAAGACAGGCCTGCACTGCTGCAAACCTTCCTGCTGTTTTCCTCCATTAGCATCTTTCATAAATAGATACTTGTCAGAGAATGAAGCAAATATGCTGTACATGTGTTTGTGACGTAACCTGTGTCCTCATCTTCAAGGTTCTGCACATTTCTGTCCCAACCAAATCTTTATTCTTGTTTCTAATTATATGCTACATTAGACCTTTGGATCCACAAGTGATGCCAGCCTCACTAAGCTCAAAACTCCCTCATTCATATCTTTGTACCTTCTGCCATTGTTATTCCTTATGCCTAGAATGACCTGCAACAGGCATTCAATCCAGCTTTTCATTCAAATTCATACTGAAAATCTACTTATTTTCCAAGGCCTAGAAATGTTGACCCACATGATTATAATGCCAACACTTCCTTAATTTATTTAAAAAATGATCTAAGTTATCTTCACCCTCCAAGTCTCCCATTAAGTTCTTATTTGATCTTTGTCCATCTTTCAGACGGTAAGATCCTAAGACTGGAACCAGACATCTGGGTCTTGTATAATTCTGATCTCAGTGTCACTGCTTAACAAATAATAATGCTAACTATGAAAATCCAAATGGTAGCTTAATAATAGTTTGCTGCGTGGGATGATCTGAGAGATTTAGACTGACACTGACTGGTTATGAGTTTTATTTATGGTGAGTTTTTAAATGTTAAATACTGTTAGATCTGTGAAGTTCTTCATATTAAAGATATAATATTTTTGTTTGAATTATATTTGTACAGGTGCATAGTTTTAAAAGGTACTTTTAACAGATCTAAATTAATAATTTTTGTGAACAGCTGAAAACCATTTCCTTCTATATGTATTTGTCTTATCATAAACTGCTGAAGTTCATTTTTTTTTTTTTGTGGACCACGTATTGCATAAAGAAGACCAGAAAGAAGACTATGAAAATGAACGAGAAATGAACGAGAAAGAAAATGAACGAGTGTTTTTATAGTCATTAATGGGATGAACTTCTATGATGGATGAATAAGGTTATTTCAGAATTTCTGATTGTCCTTTGGATAGATTTACATGATATTATATCACTGAAAAAATACATAAAATAATAAAAAATAAAAGAACAAAAGCCAAATAACTTAAATCTAAAGACAAAAATAACTTAAAATCTAAAGACAAAAATCAGTTCAGTACAGATTAATGGTCAAGAAGCAGCTTGGATAAATAAAAAAGTAAATTCACCAAAAATGTTAGACGCATACTGTTATGAGTACTACCTTAGATTGTTTGATCCATTCTACAATTCAATAAGAGTAATTTTTATCATGCAGAAGTGCATTAGCCTAAGTGCTCATAGCTAGTGAAATTAAGATTGCAAGACTGGTTTTTGAATGTTATGATTCCTGATGTCAGATTTGTGTCCATTTATTCTTTTGCGTGGAGACTGTCCGGTTTGGCCAATTTACATGGCAGAGGGGCATTGCTGGCATATTGTCAAGGTTCCTCCCCCACTCTGAACTCTAGGGTACAGATGTGGGGACCTGCATGAAAAACCTCCTAAGCTTATCTTTACCAGCTTAGGTCAAAACTTCCCCAAGGTACAAAATATTCCACCCGTTGTCCTTGGACTGGCCGCTACCACCACCAAACTAATACTGGTTACTGGGGAAGAGCTGTTTGGACGCGTCCTTCCCCCCAAAATACTTCCCAAAACCTTGCACCCCACTTCCTGGACAAGGTTTGGTAAAAAGCTTCACCAATTTGCCTAGGTGACTACAGACCCAGACCCTTGGATCTTAAGAACAATGAACAATCCTCCCAACACTTGCACCCCCCCCTTTCCTGGGAAATGTTGGACAAAAAGCCTCACCAATTTGCATAGGTGACCACAGACCCGAACCCTTGGATCTGAGAACAATGAAAAAGCATTCGGTTTTTTACAAGAAGACTTTTAATAAAAAATAGAAGTAAATAGAAATGAAGAAATCCCCCCTGTAAAATCAGGATGGTAGATATCTTACAGGGTAATTAGATTCAAAAACATAGAGAACCCCTCTAGGCAAAACCTTAAGTTACAAAAAAGATACATAGACAGAAATAGTTATTCTATTCAGCACAATTCTTTTCTCAGCCATTTAAAGAAATCATAATCTAACACATACCTAGCTAGATTACTTACTAAAAGTTCTAAGATTCCATTCCTGGTCTATCCCCGGCAAAGACCCAGCATACAGACAGACACAGACCCTTTGTTTCTCTCCCTCCTCCCAGCTTTTGAAAATATCTTGTCTCCTCATTGGTCATTTTGGTCAGGTGCCAGCGAGGTTACCTTTAGCTTCTTAACCCTTTACAGGTGAGAGGAGCTTTCCCCTGGCCAGGAGGGATTTCAAAGGGGTTTACCCTTCCCTTTATATTTATGACACATATGATGACATATATATCACACTGGTAGATGGCCATAATGGCCCACCTTGATTATCATGCACATTGTAGGGAGAGTGGTCACTTTGGATGAGCTATTACCAGCAGGAGAGCGAGTTTGTGTGTGTGGTTTTTGGAGGGGGGTGGGGGGTGGGTGAGAAAACCTGGATTTGTGCTGGAAATGGCCCACCTTGATTATCATACACATTTTAAAGAGAGTGGTCACTTTAGATAAGCTATTACCAGCAGGAGAGTGAGTTTGTGTGTGTGTGGGGGGGGGGGGGCGCGGAGGGTGAGAAAATCTGGATTTGTGCTGGAAATGGCCCAACTTGATGATCACTTTAGATAAGCTATTACCAGCAGGACAGTGGGGTGGGAGGAGGTATAGTTTCATGGTCTCTGTGTATATAATGTCTTGTGCAGTTTCCACAGTATGCATCCGATGAAGTGAGCTGTAGCTCACGAAAGCTCATGCTCAAATAAATTGGTTAGTCTCTAAGGTGCCACAAGTACTCCTTTTCTTTTTGCGAATACAGACTAACACGGCTGTTACTCTGAAACCTGTTTATCTTAGAGACACACTAAAGAGCACCATGCTGGGAAGCTTACAGTAGAAACAAAAAAACTTCCATAATGAGGGATGATCATTGCTCCCACTAGCTATTTGTCACATTTTTGGCTCCAATTCAGCAAAGCACTTACACATGTACT